TTCCATTATCTAAAGAGAATATAAAATAGTAGGAAAAACATTAGAAATGATACAGAGCTTCATTAAACAAAATAATAGGGATTAGACAATGGTTGCTGCATTGCATAATGTGCTCTTCTTCTTCTTTTTTTTTTTTTTTTTGTATTTTAGGGAAGGGTCTACAGGGTGTTCAGGGTCTCACTACTAGATTGGACTCCTAGTGATCCGCCTGTTTACAGCCTCCCAAGAGCTGGGATTACAGGCGCCCGCCACCACGCCCAGTCTCATTTGCAGTCTCAGCGCGCCCCAGGGGCAGAGCCAGCATGGCGGGCCCGGGGATCAAACCCCCAGCCCCTGCACCTGTGTTCTCTTCATATTGGTTGTTCAGATTACCATGTATAAGCATGCAAAATTGGTAAAGAGAGAGAGAAGAAAAAGTTATGAAAAATTAAAAAGAATAAGGAAAAAAGCATCAACTGCTCCCCTCTGTAGACTAGCATAAATCAGCAGTACAGTTAGCCAAGCCATCCTGCATACATACATAAATATATCTCTTTCCCCCCTTTCCTGTCTTTTTCTTCATCCCAGTTTTTCCTTCCCTGTGAACAGATTCTTTCTCTTTCACATTATCTGTTGTACCTTTCAGATTTTATTTACTCTTTCAGGTTCTTAGACTAGTGAGACAATACAATGTTTGTACATGTGGGTTTGATGTTTTTATTGTTCTTGATATTATCCATTATCTAACCTATCCCATGTTTATTTTTTGTATCTTGAGATAAGGTCTCTCTAATTAAGACTAGCCTTGAACTAACTATGTAGCCTAGCCTGGCCTCATACTTGCCACAATCCTCCTGCCTCAACCTCTCAAATACTGGGATTACAGGTGGCCACCAGCACACCTGACAGCGTGGTCATGTATCTATTAATGACTTTCCCCCAGAGGTTCATGAGGACAAGGACTTTTGTATGATTTATTACTGGTTTGTTTCTAAAACCAACAATATTTTCTGGGACACAGTAGGTGTTCAGTGAATATTCACTGCCTGGCTAAGTGTCATTTTAAATTTCAAAGATCTATGATGACCATGTCCAATACTCTACCATTTGGGACTTCATTGTAGTTTAATTTGAATTTTATCTCTTTTTGTATATCCTCAAGCAAATATAAATATTTTTGGTGTCCATCTATATTTTTCTCTCTTTCAGCCATGTACTTTTTCATTAAAAAATGATCATTATAGATATGTTGAGTCCTATTATACTTTTTTAAAAATGAATTTAGGACAGGGTCTACAGGGTGTACAGGGTCTCACTACATAGATTGGACTCAGGGACTCGTAGTGATTCTCCTGTTTTCAGCCTCCTAAGTGCTGAGATTACAGGTACGCGCCACCACGCCCAGTCTCAATCGTCATCTCGGGGCCGGTGCGGCACACTTAGGATCAAACCTTGGTCCCTGCACCGGCCGCTGCGCTTTGCCTAAGCAGGTGCTTTAGTCGGCTGAGCTATCTGGCCGGCCCCCTAGTATACATTATTATATGCAAAGTCCTATTCTTTTATCAAAAAAGTGAGCTGCACATAAATACACAAATGACACACAGAGGCAAGAAACAAGACTGGAGGAAAAAATAGTAAAGGAAAAGCTAGTAAGACTGAGAATTCCACATTAGGATGGGGAAGCGGAGTACAGAGTAAATGTGACAGACGAATGGGTAGAAAGGGAAAGATGAGACGGAACAGTGAGAGACAAGGACGTTGCCAATCACCAGATGGTAGCATTAAAAAAAACTGTACCAAAGCAGATATATAAATATTTCTAAATGAATTCTTAAAATTCACATTTCAAGTTATCTGCCAGCTATTTTGGGGGTGAGAATTAGAACAAGATAGCGACATCTGGTGGACACTATGGAACTGACCCCAGAGTTTCTCTAGTAGGAAAACACTAAGTAGCCCCATACTCTTACTTCTGGAAGGTCAGGGTTCCACGTTACTAATTACACTACCCCAAAACAATCTTTCTTTGGCACCTAGAGTCTCATTACATGAGGTATCTGAATTTCTATTAAGCCCTGTCTATCTTCCAACTAACATTTGGCTCTCCTCTGAAGGGTATACACAATCTGGCATCATAATTCTTCTTTTGCAAGGTAAATTTACTAAAATGTTCAGATCCTTTGAAGTGGGTTTAAATTACTTATTTGCAATATGAGAGGACTCAACAAGGGGTTGGGTCAAGGAAATTATAGCCCTTATAATGTCTACCAAATATTTTTCTCATTAAAGCAAATTTTTTAAGCCAGAAGTTGTGGCACACAGGTAATCCCAGCACTCCAGAGACTGACGCTGGAGGATTGCCAACAGTTCAGACCAGCCTGGGCTACACAGTGAGTTCAAAGCCAGCCTGAACTACATAGAAAGCCCTTGACTCCGAAAAATAAAAAAAATAATTTTATATTAATAGATGTGAAGAGAGATGAAAGTTAAAAGCTTGTATGTAATATGATCTCATGTAAAACATTTACAGAAAAAATGACTGGAAGGGTGTATTCTAAAATATTAGCAATGTTTGCTTTTGGATGTGAAACTTATGGGTTGATTTTTTTGTTTATTTGTTTGCTTGCTTGTTTTACAGAATTGAGAACTGAAATCAGAGCCTTCACACTGAGCTATATCCCTAGTCCTTTTTATTTTTCATTTTGGGATAAAGATCCACTAAGTTGCTCAGGTGGGACTTGAACTTGCCATCCTCCTGTCTCAGGCTTCTTCAGCTGTGCCTTGCTGAGTTTTTACTTCCTAATCATAGTTTGCAATATTTTCCTTTTTTTTTTTTGAGACAGAGTCTCACTATGCAGTTCAGGCTGGCCTTGTGCTCATTTTTTTCATTCTTTTTCTTTTTCTTTTCTTTTCTTTCTTTCTTTCTTTCTTTCTTTCTTTTTTTTTTTTTTTTTGAAGTTAAAGGGGGAAAGGTTTATTTTAGCTCATAGTTTGAGGAGGGTTTTTTTTTTGTGCTCATTTTCTGTAGCCCCCAGGCTGGTCTCGAACATGCAGAGATCCTCCTGGCTCAGCCTCCTGAGTGCTGGGATAACAGACAGTTCCAGGGCCACATGGTAGGTGCCCACATCCAGACCAAGACCATATGGCATGTAGGGCTGGCGATTGAACTCTAGTCCTTGTGCTTGCCAGGTAGGTGCTTATGCCTCTGAGCTCTCTCTCCAGCCCCTGCAATATTTTTCAAATGCTCTATAATTAGCACACATTATTTCTACAAAAACCTTTGAATCTTTTAAACAATGTATATATTCTTAGTTGATAAAGTTTTCAATCTATGCCTGATTTTGTTAATTCCAGAAAGACAATGAATCAAGGCTGTAGTGGGCTACAGTTTCCACAGGAGAAGTAAGAAATGAGGACCAATTAACAAGTCTGTTCTAGGATCTGAGCCCTGCCGGAGAACTCCTCCAGAAGAAAAACTACACTGAAATCCCAGTAATGCCCTCTCCACAGCTTACCAGAAACTTACAGAGGGCTCTGCTGGCAGCAAGGTGTTACAGAATCTCACAACCACTTCTGTGCCCATCTTCAGAGTCCCTAGAAGAGCAAGTCAGGGCCACCTTAAAATGGGAAAAGAAAGAATGTGCAAATGTGCAGAATGAGGGGTGAAGCCCCCAAAAGTTAAACCAACCTGTTGAGGTCAGGGTCCTCCTCCAAATCTACCAAATTAGCTTGTCTTGAAGTAACAGAAATAGGACCCTGGTGAGCTGAAAATCAAGCCTAAAATATTGCAATCCCCCTAGACTATCACAGTGTCATTATAAAATCTAGTTACTGAAGTTTTTGCAGTAAACTTTAGTTACCTAAACTTTCCCTATCTGTTTCTCTTCTACCTGGACCTCAAGGATCACAGGAGAACCCTTGGAGTTCTGCTTCTGGCATTTACTCCTTTTCATACTCAGAAATTCCGTTTTATCCCAAAAAAGACAGGCAGAATTCACACACAGAAATTTACGTATACCAAGTATTATGATCTCCACCATCTTATTCGACCTGCATGGTAAATGGTAAATAGCCCTTGGAAATAGTTAAATTCTTGGGCCCCAGAGCTGCTCCAACTAGTGGTAAAGGCGGTCGGTCGTTCAGCCCACTCTTAGGAACCCACTTGCACTGACTAACCAGGTCCGTGCCAGAGAACAAGCCAAGCAGCAGTGAAGACAATGAGGATGGTAGTGGCACGCGCACACACACACACACACACGCGCACACACACACACACACACATTTGACTGCGTGGTATGTACTGCTGCAGTGCTTTAAATTCTCACAAGCAGTCTCTGAGGTTGATATTATTACCAGCCTGTGTGTTTCCATCCCGGCCCATCCGCAGGGAGTCACCCTTCTTAGGGCCCAACTTAGGGACAGCGATGTGCGTGTTGGATGGTGTACAGGTTGACAAGCGAAGTGCGGCGCTACTGTCTCCAGGCTCTGAAAGTCTGAAGCTGGAACTACATACCAAGAAAGGACCTACCAGACTGAGAGCGAGTTCAGACCGTGAAACTTCTGCCTCGGTCGCGTTTCCCCACCTCGCCCCTCTGCACGTGCGCAGTTTTGACCCGGTTGCTCAACCACTGAATGGCCACCCTTCAAGACCTACCTCTTACGGGTCTGCCAGGCTCAACACACCTCTCTCTCCAGCCCTTCTGGATTCCGCCTGTGTTTGCTCTGTCTGCAGCGGCCGCTGCCGCGTTCCCGCTACCATGGCGACGCGGAGGCTGGCTCCAGCCCGGCAGGCTTGCAGCCGCTGGACGCTGGCAGTGAGCCTTGATCCCGCCCCCTGCCTTCCAGGCCCCGCCTCCAACCGGCCGAGGCCACCTGCGGACCGCGTACAGCCCCCAGGAGCCCAGGCCCCGCCCCCGTCCCAAGGACTGGCTCCCATTGGTCTGGATCCCGCCCCACGGACTTTGTCCAGTGACGACCCGCTGCAAAACCTCTTCCCAGGAAACGAACCCGGCCAGTTTCTCTTGACGTTTATTGATGCAAGTCACTCTGGACAGGCAAGAGCTAGAAATCTGTCCAGCCGGTTGGTTAGTAACGGTAGCTCGAAGGTGTTTGTGGCCAGTGTTCGGAGAGGCTTCCACTGGGCCTCAGTTCTGCAACCATTTGTTTGCTGAGGTCTAGGACCCCTGACTCAGCCACAGGAGATTGCCCAATCCAGAGATGGTTGCTAAATATCAGAATGCGTAAGGTCCCAAGTTCGATCCCTAGTACCACCAAAAAAAAAAAAAAAAAACTAGGAACATTAATGCCCTTGAAGGCCTGAGCTATGTTAGAGGTCAAAGACCTACCTTCTGGAACATCCCACTTAGCATCGTTTTGTGGAACTCCACACATAGCTAACCCAACCACAACTCCAAGAGAACAGTGGCAAATAAGAGGCCTGGGTACAGAATAAGGACACCTACATTTCCAAGTGCCCTTGAATTCCTTAAGCTTAACATCGTTGGGTTGCCATCAAATTCCCCAAAGCAGTGAGGCCTCTGCGCAGGAGTAGTGCTTAAGATGACGGAGACGGGTGCCTCCTCCCCAAGACTCACACCAAAGTTCCATTCTTGCTGTCATAGCATGGTGTGGCCTGGGGGAAGTAAAGGGTGGCATATTCGGTAGCACTTTCTAACTGCAGGTGTTTCACCTCGCTGGCAGAGCGGGGCTGGGCACGGCTGTACACTTGAATGTCTGCGTAATGTAAGTTGCTCTCTTCGGATGCCAGGTCTTGACTCCTCTTTGGGAATGCAGGCTTCTGTAACCCCTGCTCATACATATGTCCTGTTAATTTATGGCCCTGAAAGGAATCACAGAATTAAGGAAAATTCTTGACTTGAGGAAAATTCCCTCACCTCCAAAGCTGGGTCAGTTAGACTGATGTCCCTTTGCTTTGTCCCTTTCGAGGACAGAGGAGGCCAGGCAAAACCAAGTCTGCAGGTAACTGAAATGTGTCTGTCTCCGGGTGAAAAGCTGCGTAACTGGGACCCCTTGTTTGAGTAGTCCCTGGGGGGGGGCCAGCGAGCCAGATACCTTGGTGCTACTCTGCCGAGGCTGGTGCTGCTGTGTCTTCAGTGTGCATCTTGCTTGGCTCCCTGCAGGGAAGAAATCCAACTTAAATCCTTTCTCTCTTCTTTGCCCTCTTCAAATCTCTGTTAACCTAGCATGCTTGGCTTCTGATCAGTCTCTCTGCCTCCTTTCCTCACTTTTCACTGGCCCCTAAAGATAATTCCACAAATATACATTGAGAACCTATCAGGGGCCAGGCTCTGTCCCCTGTTAATGAGATAGAAAAGACTCTTAGCTTACACTCTACCAGGGGAGATAACAAGCAAACAGACCGTCACCACCATAATTATAAGTGCTTGGGCCACACCCGTGTGCCCCTTAGTCAGTCAGTCGCCCTCTGCAGGAGCTGATTCCTCTGCTTATAAGGTCCTCCTCTCCCTCGTCCACTAACCTGTAAACTTGCGTCGCTTTGCCATCAGTTCTCTCATTCTCCTGCAGCATTAGTACTCATCTCTTATAATACTACTGTGCAACGCTTCAGTTACTGATTTAAGTAAATGTACCTGTCAAACCTAACCGCAGCTCTTCCAAGCGCTCTGATTGCCGGTCCTTCCCCTTGCAGCTCTCTGCCTCCTTGGGACCCTACAGAGTGGCTCATGTGCACTGTAAGTGCTCAGTAATATTAGCTGGATGAATGCAAGAATGAGGACCAACCTGGCCACTCTAAGATAATGAGAAAGATAGGATCCACGGGTCCCAGGGCTGAGACTCTCTTCGGTGCTGTCACCCTTTATCCATTCCAAGGCCACTCCTCCTGCATGTCCCCTCCCCCTTAAAGTTACCTGTTTTGTTTCTGTTCTTGAGAGATGATGGGCTGCTCCTGCGATAGGAAAAAGAAATCACCCATGTGCAGGAAGAGCTTGGTCTCTATCCTTCCTCCTTCAGTGTTTGCTTTGTGGTCTCAACATTGGGATGACTTGTCTCCACCTCCCTAAAGAGTCACCTTGAGCCAGGTTCAGCCCAAAAAGCATTTGCCTCAGGTACCACATTTCTCCCAGATGAATGGTTCTGGAAAGTAGAGTGGTACAACTGACATAACCAAGCTCAAAATACAGTTGTAGGCAACCAGTCCCTCCTTACATGCCAGAGAGGTAGCTGGCTGCAAGGCTATTCTGGGATTGTCTAACAAGCTAATCCCAGCAGAGGCTAAGGGAAACCTGCCAAATAATAGGACACTCTTGGATCCAGAGACCCTCATGGTGCTTCTTTGATGCTATTTTTTGGATCTTTGGTAGCGTGGGATTTTCATTCTGGAAGACATACAAGCTGCCACAATCAGGGCAGCTTAACTAGTTAGGACCCCTTAAGCCCCCCGCCCCCCCCCCCGTTGTTTTTAATTAGGAGAGCAAGTGAGAGATGTTTAACCTTTGATGTCCTTTGGAGCACTTTGCTACAGAACAGGAAACACTGAATTTGGTGAATGACTCAGCTATCCTGTCCTCAGTGCACAGCAGCCCTCTCGCGTTCATTTCTGAGCCCTTGGGGTCCCGGATGGAGCCTGTGTGTCTAGTGTTTGTCAACACTTTGATGCCCAGAAAGACAATTCTAGTCTGAGGAAATAGGCTACATAGTTTGGGACTTACTCGGGATGCTTTTTCTTGCTAGTACATTTCCAAATCTCACCAGCGTGAACCCTATTTGTGTGACTTCTCAGGAAGTTTCCTTTTTTTGCTAATTAAAGTGAAAGAAGGGGCCGGGGAGGTTGCTCAGTAGAATAAGCGCTTCCCTGGCAAGCGCAAAGGCCTGAGTTCAATCCCCGGTTCTGCCAAAAATAAATAAATAAATAAATAAAAATAAAGTGAAAAAGACTTTTAACTCTCACTGGCTGTAGGAAAAAACCTGAGGATTTCCTCAGATATAGTTGCAAGAGACCTGTGCTTTGGTGTGATTTTTTTGGTTGCTGTACAGCCTGCAGAGGTATGAGCAGTTAGTATCCACCCAAATGCTGTAAGCGCTTCAGCAAAAAAAGACAATATGTGTGCCCTTGAGATTCTTCCTGTGCCACTGAAGCACATGGCACGTGCCTTGTGTTATCACAGCCTTGTCCTAGGAGATAGAGATTCTTCTCATTCCTTGCCTCTTGTCACTACTGTCTTCCTGCTTATTTCCATTTAAAGGGACAGAGAAAATATTAATTTTAAAATATATGATAAGGGCTAGCCAATTGTAGTGAACAGAATCTTTTCCTAAGTTGGATATTGTGCTATACCTGGACATAACCCAGAGTACTCATAGAGTGGCAGAAATCATTTTTAGATCAAAATTAAGAAACTTAAATGGACACTATTACAGTGGTAGTAAGTATAAAAACTGATCCAATCCTTCTAAAATGAAATTTGCAGTAAGTATAAAAAGCACTGCAGTGCTGGCCCCACCCTCAGGGCGCACTGAGACACGGACACTGGGCATGGTGGTGTGGCCTGTAATCCCAGCACTTGGGAGGCTGTAAACAGGAGGATCGCTAGGAGTCCGATCTAGTTGTGAGACCCTGAACACCCTGTACATCCTTCCCTAAAATACAGAAAAAATAAAAATAAAAATAAAAAATAAAAAGCATTGCAAGCTGGGCTTGTTGGCACAGACCCATAAGATCAGTACGAGGGAGGATTGCTGCAAGTGTGAGGCCAGTCTGGGCTACATAGTGAGTGCAAGACTAGGACTATATATAGTAAGACCCTGTCTCAAAAACAAGCACTAAACATAAATGTATATACTTTCTGATGTATCAATTAATATAATAAGAAATAATAATACTTATGCAAATATGAATATTTATTGTGGCAATATTTATAAATATGAAAAGATAGAAAATATCCAATATTTGGTAATTGACTAAAATAATGACACATCCAGTCACTGGTGTAGGCACTTAGAAAAGAATGTTGGGGACTGGGGAGATAGCTCAGTAAAATAAGCGCTTGCCTGGCAAGCGCAAGGGCCTGAGTTCAATTCCTGGTTCTGCAATAAAGAAAAGGCTGTTGGAAAAATACCTATTGGCATGGAAAATTTTATTCTTCAATTATATATATTGGGATAAAAATGTGCACATTTAAAAATAACATGACAGGTGCCGGGGAGATAGCTCAGTAGAATAAGGGTTTACCTGGTGAGCACAAGGGCCTGAGTTCAATCCCTGGTTCCACAAAAAAAAAAAAATAAAAATAAATAAAATAAAATAAAATAACATGACAATGTACTAAAATGTTTCTGTCTTCCCTGGATATTTATATTTACGATTGCTCTGTACTTTCTGTCTTTCAAATACTATAAATTTTCAAATTTTTGAATATTATATGTATTCTATGTAACAACAAAATTGTTGACTATTACAAATAACAGCAGAGAAGCTGGGCATGGTGCATTCTGAAAGTGTGAGGTGGGAGAATCCTAAATTCAAATCCACCCTGAGCAATTTAGAAACTTAGTAGGAGATCCTTTCTCAAAACTAAATATGGGGCTGGGGAGATAGCTCAGTGGAATAAGTGCTTGCCTGGCAAGCACAAGGTCCTGAGTTCGATCCCTGGTCCCACCAGAAAAAAGAAATATTTAAATAAAATTCTGTTTAAAAACAAAAACAAAACAAACAAACAAACAAACAAAAAAAAAAACCTAAATATAGGGCTAGGGTGTATGAAGGCCCTAATTTATTCCCAAGTACTGTCCCCACCCCACCCCTCCAAAAAAAAAAGGAAGAAAGAAGAGAAACATATTACAATAAAAATATCCAGTTTTCATACTATCTTGAAGTGAATGGTGTGTTTTTGAGGTAATAAAAAATGGAGAATAATTTTTATCCAATCCTAGTAAGTATCTCAAGAGGAAAAAAATAATGCTGATTAGAATGGCTGGTTTAGTGTCTCTACACTAGGCTCTCTGTTGACCTTGTCAGACTAGCTGTTAGATATTCAACAAGCTTGTTTGATTTTTGTTTTGTTGGCATGCCAGATTGAATCCAGGGACCATACCTCTGACCTTTTTATTTATTTATTTATTTATTTATTTATTTATTTTGTTTGGTTTTGAGATAGGTTCTCACTCAGTTTGGGGGGGCTGGACTCAAACTTGTGATCCTCTTCCCTCGGCTGCCCAGAGTGCTGGGATTACAGGTTTGGTCCCCCACACCAATCCCTTCTGAGGAGCAGATGGAGGGCTACTGTGGTGGTGCTGGCCTGTGAACTCAGCCCTCTGGGAGGTTGAGGCAGGAGGATCATGAGTTTGAGTCCAGTTTGGGCAATTTAGTGAGATCCTGTCTCAAAATAAAGAGTAAAAAATAGGCCAGGGATAAATTCAATCCCTGGCACCACAAAAATAAAGAATAAGACCACTGACTCAAGGAAGTGCTGGGAAAATTAAATGAGATTGTAAAGTGGCTGGCACATAGAAAGCTGTCAAGGGCTGCAATTATTATTATCTGAGGAAGAAGAGAAGGAAGAAAAGGGAAAGAAAAGCAAGGGAGCAAAGAGAAACGATGCCAGTTCATTCTTCCAGCCCCGCCCTGGTCACTTACAAACAGCTGGCATCGCTGTGTTTTCTGTGGGTTCCAGAAAAGGAGTAAGCACAGAAGGAGGTGCTACTCGGGCGCTGGAACCAGGAGGCGCCAGGCACAGAAGGCGGCGGGGAGGCACTGACTGATTCTCGGGGCCTCCGTGCACGCCAGTCGGCCTGTGCCCTCCGCCCTCCATCCTACTCACCAGCTTGCCCCGCAGCACAGCCGGTTTCCCATGGCGCTCTCTCTCCCAGGGAGCCCAGCTGTTTTTCGACGTAAAGAACCTTGTGCATTTCCTGCTTCTGGGTTTAGCTTTCCTCTTCAGCTCCCAGCGATCTCTGTCAGTGTCAGATTTCAACCTAACAGGCTGGACTTTGGAAGGCACCTGCTGGAACGATTCCCAGCGGACTGTTCCCAGCCCAATGACAGAAAGGCACACAGCGCTGCAGGTGAGACGGAACCAGCTCGCTCACCTTTGGGATGTGAAGCTGCTTTTGATGAAGGCAGGGACTTTGAGTTTCAAGCTTCAATGTAAAAAGAAACCTGAGATAGAAAAGGGCTCTGGATTTCCTTAGGGAATGTTTCTCGGCATGTCACACTCTTTGATCCTCCACAATGGAGTAAAAAAATCTTTTCTACGTTTGCCAAGCACTACCCACGTTGGGGTTTCACTCTCCAAGGAATGAGTGCCAGGGTGACCTCTGTCCAGAATCTGAGTTCGAGTCCTAGAGTCTCACGGAACCTGGAATTTATAAAAGTGGATTCCTTTCATTGTTCTCCCTTACTTTTGAAATTAATGTGGGCAAACAGATTAAACTCTTGGTGCCTAGGTTTCTAGGACTGTACAGTGAAAGAACTGAATGTATTATCTTATCTCCCTCCAGGTATAAAACCAGACGATTCTGTAATTAGAGCGGCCTTGGCGCTTCCTGACCACTTGCTTCCTGATCCTCTGTTCAGTACTACAAAGTCTCATCCCTCCCCTTGGCTTTTTCTTCCAAAGACTCCTAGTTAGACTGGTTCACACTCAACAGCAGCTTGCAGGAAGCTGAACAAATTCCCTTGTAGATGAGATGAGCTCTAGAAGAATCTGTGAAAAGCCCACAACTTTTATTTTCTGTGCTGTCACCTCCTCTTTAATGTCCTTCTCAACTGCCTATCCTCCACAGAGCACCCTGGGCTCTGAACTAACTTTTTATGCAAATTGGAGATAAGAATAACAGTATTATTATTGCTATGAAGATCAAATAAAGTACACGCAATAAAGCTCTAGTCTGGGACCTGACTAATGGGAAGCTCTCAGGAAACCTTAGCTATTTTTGTTGTTATTATTACTTTAATTCTCAACTAATTATCACATGACATAGCCTCTTTATCAACTTGTACCCCAGTTATTGTTTATTTCTCCCTGTACCTTTTGTATTTGCCCTTAGCTGTGTCCTTTGCATCTTTTTACCTGCTCCACCTCTACAGCTCAAAGGCCGTTCAGAATGTCCTTTTACCCATAGAAAAGTGTTCAGACTTCTCAGCCTGTCTCACAAATCCCTCCAGAATCTGGCCTCTTTCCAGCCACTCTTATAACTTACAGAAAATCAGGGAAGATACTTTTAGATGCGAAGAAGCTCCACATAAACAATAGTGCATTTGCGGTAGAAAACCTGATATACTTTGGGTAGCATTAATAGGAGTGTAGAGTGATAAATTAGGGGGCTGATTATTCCACTGAAATCTGTACTAGTCAGTCAATGCCTGGAATAATGATGTAAGTTCTATATGCTGAATTTGAAATTACTTTGTCAAATACCAGTGTTCAAAAGAAAGTTGTCTGTAGTAAGTGGTGCAGAAAGCACTGGAAGATATGGCTGAAAGAATGAGGCACAATTTGTCTGAAAGCAGGCAAGCTCCAAGGAGCAGAACGGGTATCTTTAAATATCTGAAGCACTCTCAAGTGGAAGATGGAGTATATTTATTTTTTGAACATAAGCAAAATCAAAGTGCTAAAGTTATTGAAATGCAGATTTTGGCTCAACAGAAGGAAGAATTCATCAACTATGTTCAAAAAGAGAAAAAAGTGAACTACTTTATGAAGTTCTAAATTCTCCATCATTCAAAATGTCTCAAAAAAAGTTGATTGTGGGGCCGGGGAGATGGCTCAGTAGGATAAGAGCTTGACTGGCGAACGCAAGGATCTGAGTTCATTCCCTGGTTCCGCAAAAAAAAAAAAAAGAAAAAAAAAAGTTGATTGAACTTCTGACATTGCCATCCTACAGATAACTACTGCTATTATGGACTACTGGAGTATATTGGATTATTTTGCTGAATTCACACACCTACAATATTTAAATGGCAATGGAATACCCATCTCTGACAAAACTAAACGAAAAAGGGGGATATAAATGAAGGACCATTTTGTATCTGTATATACAAAATAGTTAGGATAAATATACAGCTACTTCTCTTAATTCAATGAGAAGAAAGATTTGTACTAATAGTGTTTGGGCAGGATATCATGTCTGCATCTTGTACTATGAATAACCATTATGAAGACAACAATATGCAATGTATTAATTATTGCAACTGTCCTACTAATCAGTTTTGAAACTGTCTCGTTGCTATTTGTTTCTCAATAAAATTAATTTTTAAAAAAGTTGATTGAGGGCCAGGGAGATAGCTCAGTGGCATAAGTGCCTGTCAGACAAATGCAAGGTCCTGAGTCCATCCCTGGCACAAAAAAATAAAAATAAAAATAAAAAAGTTGATTGATAACCTTAAAAGAATTTAAATGGTGTAGGGATTTGGATTAAACCAGAGATTTGCACATTTTCTCTTCTTTAGGAACTCTTTCTTGTAGAAAACCTCAGGAACTGAAGATGTTGTTCAGTGGTAGACTATGTACATAGCGTGTGCCGCACCCCATTTGGGGGTTTAATCTCCAACCCCAAAATGAATAAATGAGAATGAACAAAGCACATCAGTGTGAAGCTGTTCTGGTTGAAGTCTAATCAACTAGATGTTGAGATTCCTCAGCATAAATAACAAGACTATGATCTTTGTAATTTATATTCATAATATATAACCCCATATTATATTACTTGGGCCTTGATAAATATTTATTGAGCAAACAGTTGAGTAGAGTCAATGTTATTTTTCTGAGTTGTGCTTCTATTTTTAATAGCAGTTAATCCTTTAAACAATAATTAAATTCCTGAAGTGAAGAATTTTTATCCTGGGGGTCCACAAATCCCTAAGAGGGGCATGAATGCATTTCTAAAACTGTGTGAAACTATTTAAATAGTATTTTTAAATTTGAGGGTATGTGTATTTTTCTGATAAAAGGACCTATAGCTTTTACCAGAATTTCAAGAGGGTCTAAATCCCCTCAAATTAAAATGTAATCACCTTGGCAAAAGAATTTTAGGTGTTCATCACACCCTAAGAAAAAATCTCTATATATAGTCTGGAAAACAGCAAGTCATTGGGACACTCCCCAACTCATACATGTACACGCGCTCTCGACTGTAAAGAATTCTATATGGTGACAGACATCCAGGATTTCCTAAATCTACCAGCTCCCTAGAATCAAGACTATTTGTAAGGGAGGCTTGCCTGGCAGTTATCACCACAATAAGAACCTTAGGTCCCTGCATTCAGTCTTGGATTAGGTGGGGTAACACAGTGATTTCTCTCTTTGGGATGTTCCAAAATCAGAGGCAAATGCTTTCTCAAGTGGGTCGCCCCCATGCAGAGGATGGGGAGACGACCATGCTCAGAGATGAGGCCAGAGGCTACAGTACCAGTGCTTCCATATGTGCACATTCAGTCCCTCAGAGTCAGTGACCATTTTAGCAGGCAGACCTTAGTATGGGAAAACAAAGGATTCACTCCAGGGCTTTAGGCTACTCTCTCTGCAGCCAAAAACCATTTTCCCAACCCCTATCCAAAAAGGACCAGACAGTCTGGAGACCCTTGTTTTTGTGTCTCTAATCACCAGCTCAGACAGAGCCCTCTGGGCTGTTTGGATGGCATATCCCTTTTCCCTCCCAGGATCATTCTTTCTTTTGTTGCATTGTGAGAAAATTATGGCTAGGAATTTGATCTGGAGCCAGTGTCAGCTTCCGGGTATGATCTCAGCATCCAAGTGTGAGCTCAGGATACTGTGACGTTGGGCACCCATAACAGGAGCTTTCTGTCTAGCTGGCTGGAGCTTTCTGACCAGCTCCTTCCCACCCATCCCATCCTCTAGGCCACGGAACAGCGAGCAGCACAAACAAGGCCCTGAGCTTTGGGTTTATTCAGCTCCCCCCCCACCCCCCAGAACTAAACGAAAGGCTGTAACATGTCTCAAGGGACCAAACCATACACTGTGGACCTGGAGCACTCCCATTCCCCCCAGGATGCTGCTACCTCTGGGGTGGCCGGCAACTGCGCAAATCACAGAGGGAGGCGGGAAGGGATTTGCTGGGTGCTGGGTCTCTGGCAGTCAGGGCTCAACTCTGGCCACCTCCTCCTCCTCTTCCTCTGGGTCGGGAGGCGCAGGGAGTAGTGAGATGTAGACCTCATTGACTTCTGTGTCCAAATGTCGGCCACCCCGAGGGGCCTCCAAATTAAGGATGCCGTCATGGGAAAGGGCAGCGCGAACCCGCCAGGGGTCCACATCAGCAGGCAGGACGTAGGTGCGGCAGAACTCTCGGGACACGAAGCCGTGGCGATCCAGGCGCTGGGGGTGCCGGGCAGACACCTCCAGCAGGTTGTCCACAGTCCTCACAGTGACCTCGTCAGGGGTAAAGTGGCTCACGTCCAGAAAGGCCTGGAACTTGCCCTCACTGAGCCTGAGCTCCGATGCCCCTGCCCTGCTGCCCTCCCCAGCTTGGGCAGCCCGGGGCCGCACATAGTAACCATGGTAGAGGGTGGGGGTCAGGATCTCTTCGGGCAGGAGGCCTGGGGGGCAGAGAAAGAGAAGGCAGGAGGCGGGATGAAGGAGGATGAGGTGGACACAGGGACAAACACAGAGCTCAGGAGATGGAGGCCTGGAAGGGCAGCAGGGGAGTTGGAGGCCGGGAAGCAGCAGCAGTCCAGGCAGCTGGGAGGAGGGTGCTGAGAAAGACAGGCAGTGGGGCAGGCCGGCCAGACTGGGACTGGGTGGGAGGACGGGAACCCAGAACCTTGCGGGCCCCAGGTCTGTCCTGAGGTCAAGAGGAAGGGGACACAGCCCGGCTGGAGAGCTGTGGACGGTGTCTGGGGTGGGAGACGCTTGCCCCAGGAGTTCAGTTAAGCCCCAAGTGGGGTTGGGGCCAGTAAAGTTGGGAAGGCAGCCCAGAACTTCAAGAGGTGGGGTGGGAGGCACCGGGTGGCATCCAGCCCGTACCTTCTCCAAAGCGCTGCTCACCCAGGCGGCTCGGGTTGGCGAATTCATACTCAGCGGTGGCCGGGTGGGCGTGTGGCACGGAGCGGCCAGACATGGTTGCAGTCACCCTGGTCCTAGCTGCAGCCCCAACAGGAGCGCGGGACCCCTCCAGCTGCCCAGAGAGCTAGGGAGCAGTCAGAGGAGGGGGCGGGGTCGACACCACCCAAAATAGTGCGGGGCCTCCGAGGGGGGAGGGCAGGAGCAGGGGCCCTGAGTGTGGCAACAAGGGTATGACCAAGGCTGCCCAGACCCCCACTCTCCTCCCCCACACAGGCTTCAGCTGTCGTCGCAGGGCCTGAGAGGACTGACAGCTGGGGGTCCTGGTCCTGCAGTGAGCTGGGAAGGAAGCTGGTGCTGCGCCAGAGGCAGAGGCCTAACTGAGATCCTCTTATGCGCATTTTCACATCGCCTTTTCTGCTCAGCTGCAGACACCGCGCACCTCACTTCATTAAGCATTCTGGACTCAATGAAAAGCTAGTCACGAAACATAAAAGACGCAAGAAAGCTTTCTGCCTCTCTTGAGGTAATCCCTCTGCTCAGATTAATGCCAAGGTCCTTTCCTGACCCCAGGTCAGCCCAGGGCACCACTACATGCCTGGTACTGACATGTTGGCTGTCATTGAGCTCCTTCAGAGACCCACAAAGAGTTAATGTTCCCAGGGCCCAGCCTAGGAAGATTCCAGTCCCTGCCCAGGCCCAAGATAGTTGCTGGCCCAATTCCCCTGGCATGCAAGACTGGGGGGGGGGGGGGGGAAGAGGAGGGGCACAGCCCTGCCTGCTTGGGATTCCTGACTCTGTCCCAGGGCCAGAGAAGGGGTGGGGGAGGGTGCCCAGGGTGTGGATGGAAAGCTAGTGAAACAAGACCATGACAAGTCGCTGGCCAGCTCAGGCGTGTTTGTGTTTCTCTTTTCTTAGCTCAGTGAGTACTGGGTATGTGTCACACTGCCAAATCCCCAATCACAAGTCTCCATGAACCGGCCGTGAGCGAGTATAATAAAACCCCTGACATCACCATTCCAGAAGCTTCACAAGACTGCATATATAAGGGCCTGGCTGTAGCTGCAGCTGAAGGAGCTGACCCACCAGCTGATCCCCTGCACTCACCTAGACACCATGGACATCGCTATCCACCACCCCTGGATCCGCCGCCCCTTCTTTCCTTTCCCCTCCCCCAGCCGCCTCTTCGACCAGTTCTTCGGAGAGCACCTGTTGGAGTCTGACCTTTTTCCCACTTCCACTTCCCTGAGCCCTTTCTACCTTCGGCCATCCTCCTTCCTGCGGATGCCCAGCTGGGTGGACACTGGACTCTCAGAGGTGAGTCTCCCCTCTGCCAGGACAGGTGCATCCTTCCTGGAACATTCTGGGTACTTCTCCACCTGCTTTAATTCCTCTTCTTCCCTGCCTAAGCCATTGTAGGTGTGCATGTATCCAGAAGTGAAGAAAGTAAGGTAACTAAAATACTGCTCTTCCCCAGAAACTTCTTATTTGATACTCCTCTGTATCCTATTTATTAATCTTTTTCACGCACATGGAAGATCACTCTCTGCCTCCCAACCTTTAAGCAGGATACCCTTTTTAGTTTGGTTTATAATGACTTGCAGGAAAAGAGGCACCTTTAAACATCTTTATTCACTTCTTCTAATACCTCATACTCCTATTATTTCAAGTTTCAGAACACATACAGAGAGAGAGAGAGGGGGAGAGAGAGAGAGAGAGAGAGAGAGAGAGAGAGAGAGAGAGCGAGCTATCTCATCTTGAGCTCTTCATCCCCACTGGGTGGAGCTGGAGACAACCACCACTATTTTCTTCTATTCTGTTCCCTCTTTATGATTTTCTGGATTCACCGGGGCTGTAACAGGGCACTGGCCTCTTTCCAGACCTTATCATGAAAGAATGCGAGTCCAGTCCTTGCAGCCCCCTATCTTTTCCTAAGAGAGCAGGAGGGGGTGAACAGATAACACTGACAGAAGCTGCCACAGATAACACTCTACTTTAAAAATATTTATGTGAGAGTAAACAGGAGCTGAGTGGGCAAGGGCTTTGGAAGGACAAGCGGGACTAGCAGAACATTCCAGATTCAATGGGTGGGAAACCTGGCAGAAAACCAAGCAAGTAGAAGAGGCCTTTGTCTCATAGACAAATGACAAAGCTGGGCATTGGGGTCAGAGAGATCACAGAAGCCATGCCCACATCCATCTGGCTCCCTGGGGGAGGTCTGTCTTTTTCCCAGTGCCTTGAATAAGTTTGGGCCTGATAACCAAATGGTTTCCTTGGCTACCATTGTGGTGACAAACCTCAACCAAGAACTATGTTTATTTGAAAAGATTTTTAGCAGACAAGGAGAAAATAGTCACCTGGACACAGAGTAATGCTGCAGAGTGAGCATGCACCGGCGCAGTCTCACCGTCATCTTTTTTCCTCCTTCCCTCGCCTTGCTCCTTCTAGATGCGCATGGAAAAGGACAGGTTCTCAGTCAACCTGGATGTGAAGCATTTCTCCCCAGAGGAGCTCAAGGTGAAGGTGCTGGGAGACGTGATCGAGGTGCACGGCAAGCATGAGGAGCGCCAGGTAGGGGGCTTCTTTTCTGCCCATTTATTGAGTCCATACGTTAGGGACTGCCTTAGGGCCAGGCAATATTCCAGTCTCAACACAGACGCAGAGCCAGATCAGGGTTATAAGTCAATGTCTAGAGAACTAAACTAGGCATAAATCTGCTGTTCTCACTTTGCCGGTTTTGCCCAGAAAACTGGCTATAGCTGTCTGTTTTGACTACCTTGGATGGGGTGGATGAGATACTCATTTTTCATATAAGCAGTGATTTTCAATCTTGGATGCATTAGACTCATGAAAATATTCAAAAACCCAAATGCTCAGGCATACCTCTGACCAATTAAATCAGAATTTTTAGGGATATTTCACAAGATATCAGCTTTTTTTTTTTTTAATTGGTGATTGTTTTGTTTTGTTTCAAGATAGGGTCTTGCTATGTAGTTTCGGCTGGCTTTGAACTCACTGTGTAGCCCATGCTTGCCTCAAATTCATGGCTGTCCTCCTGCTTCAGCTTTCCAAGTGCTGAAATTATAAGTGTGTACTACCACACCTGGCTGGACAACAGTATTATTATTATTATTTAAATGACTTTTTTTGTGGAACTGGGGATTGAACTCAGGCCCTTGTGTTTGCCAGGCAAGCACTTATTCTACTGAGCCATCTCCCTGGCAAACTAATGACTATTTTTTTATTATTATTTTAATGTATTTCATACAGGGTTTCACCACACATGGTGCTGGGGGTCAAATCCTGGTCCCTGCACTTGCCTAAGCAGGCACTTAGTCTGCTGAGCTATCCTTCTAGCTGTGACAGTAGTATTTTTTAACAGCTAGGCTGAGGCAGGAGGATTGCTGTGAGTTTGAGGTCATAATGAGTTCAAGACCAGCTTAAGCTGCGAAGCAAGATCATGTCTTGAACCTAAACTAAACTAAACTAAACTGAATAAACAAATATTTTAAAACTCTAAAGTATAAAAAAAATAAAAAGCTTCCTTGCTGGGTATGGTGGCACTTGAATTTGTAAGTTTCCTTTTCCACGTTCAGGAATTCCATTTTCTCTTTTTAACCCATCTTGATGGAAACCTACTTGTTTTGGTGACATTTCAGAGCTGTCCTCAGCTCCTGATTTCTCATAGCCCATGAGAAAATCAGTTAACTGAGATTGTTTAGATAGATGATTGGGATTTGGCAAGCATAAGGGTTGGGTTCAACAACTCTGGGGAATTCTGATAAATGGAATAGTTTCTTATGACTGAGGAGGCTTTTTAAATTGCTTCTTAGTTATTGGTAACTCAGAATCTATATACAACTAGTACACTTACTAGCTCGCTGTTTCAGTTTTGTTCCTGATTTAAGATTGGGTAACACTATCCCCTATTGGTGTGGAATATTCTGAGATATTCCTAAAGAGTCAAAGTCAGGATGGGGAGATAGCTCAGCAGTCTAAGCACCTGTCTGGCAAGCACAAAGACTCAGATTCGATCCCCAATACTGCATGTGGCTCCACGCATAATGAGTCCCTGCACCAAATAAATAAAAAAAGATTAAAAAAAAAAGAGGACCATTTCTAGGCTTCCTCAGAGATTCAGATCCTAAGTGTCAGGATGAGATTCCAAATCCTGTATATTCAGCCACTATTCATGAAAACCAGCCCTTTAGAAATGCCCCTAAATATAACTATGCCTCAGAGGTTGAAGTACTGAAGAATTTGAGTTGTTTCACCTCCTTGGTCTCGCACCATTAGGAGTGATCACTTATGCAGCTTTATCCAAGTCTCACACCTGAAATAAAGAGTTACTCCTTTTCCTCATGTCATCATGGCATTTGGTCTCATCTAAGAAGAGTGACTGTTTTGAGTTGGCATATGGTATTATTTCCTGCTCTTATTTCTTTGCTTCTTTCTTCATTCTCTTGGATTAGGATGAACATGGTTTCATCTCCAGGGAGTTCCACAGGAAATACCGGATCCCAGCAGATGTGGACCCTGTCACCATTACTTCCTCCCTGTCATCTGATGGGGTCCTGACTGTGAATGGACCAAGGAAACAGGTCTCTGTCCCTGAGCGCACCATTCCCATCACTCGTGAAGAGAAGCCTGCTGTCACTGCAGCCCCCAAGAAGTAGATGCCCTTTCTCTAACTGCATTTTTTAAAACAAGAAAGTTTCCCTACCAGTGAATAAAAATGTGACTACTGCTGAAGCTTATTAATGCTAAGGGCAGGCCCAAATTATTAAGCTAATAAAATACCATTCAGCAACAGATAACTGTTTTTGTGCTTGGATTTCTGGTATGCTTGTAAACAAATCTACAAGTTTGGTGGGTCCATTTAATCATCACACTATAATTCAGGGGATTCCAGGGATTTTAGAGTCAATATAACTGGCTCAACCACTTATATTAATGGTATAAATGTGAGCAATTTGCTTAATTTTTATGGCATTCAGGTCTTCTATTTATAACATAAAGAACTGATTTGTACACAATTAAGAGGAAAACATAAGTGAAGAGAAGCCCTGATAGAATTCAAGGTGCATAAATCCCCTTCTCCTTCTTTGATTTTAACACTCAGTTTCAATAAATGGAACAAGCCTAAATTAACTCTGGGTACTACCACATAAAAGGCGTTACTATGTCTTTGAAATTAATTACATCACCAAGGAAGACATGATGACCCT